AAAAAAAATGTGATGTCCGAAATTATGTCAAATATGGTTAATGAATTGGTTCGTCTTCAAGAAGGAATGGCTGTGTTTTCATCATGACAATGAAAATAATTCAGGAAAAATTACGAAAATATTCTTACTGGCTTGTACTTGTGATAAACCTGCTACTTCACTTTTATTAAATTATAAAGAATCCACCGGCTTCCATGATTGCATATATTGTACAATAAAAGGTGATCTTAAACAAACACAAACATAAAACACAAAATTTACTTACTAAATTTTAAAAAAGAATTTTTCTAAAATATTTAATGGGTAAAAAATATAGAATGACCGATCTTTCACATATCTTCACTGTAGTCATTCCAATTTTTTTTCATTCTATTTGAAAGCTTTATATTTGATTCTATTTAACTTTTGTTAATTATAGGTAGATCAGTTGAAGCAGGTGGAACCACCATTCGTTCGTTTGCTTTCAATTGAAAAGAAAAAATCATTTTAAGATCGAATGAAACATATGATAAAGCAATCACATTTTTTGAAAATGTTAGTTTCATTTTGTGTTTCAAACATTTTAAAAAAATTTGTTTTGAATAATAAACTGCCAAACTCTGACAAAGTTCTTTCAAAAGAAGCAAGTATGGCGTATTTACAAGGTCTTAAAGGATCATGTACACTTCGACAATTATCACATTTCGATGTTTATAAATCTTTCTTATGCGACACTCTTCATAACTTGTATCTTGGTGCAACAGTAAAGCATTTTGTATTATTTTTCAACTTTTTACTATATTCTATTTAGGCTAAGATGTTAAAATTACTTCTTTCAAACCATCATCAAAAACTGGTATTACTGATGTAATGAGTGTTCATAATCGAATTGACATTGTTGCTAAAACTTTCAATACAATGTCATATCCATCTACAACTTATCGTCGTCCAAGAGATATTTGACTTTTTAAAAAATTTCAAGGGAATGAGCTTAGAATATTTCTTTTTGGTTATTCGTGAGTATCCTACTTTATAAATATGTCTTATTCTGCGTTGTCATATAGGATATTTGAAAATATACTTGAAACAGAACGTTATCATCATTTAAAAACCTTAGCTTTTCTTGCTTATTTAGTGGAAAGCCAATATTTATCCATCTCTCGACTTCAAGACATTGAAACATTAGCCAATTATTTTGACAAAACTTTTGTTTCTCTTTATAGTGTAAAATAAGATAGCTTTTTTTTATTACAATTATTCTTTGTAATTAAGGAACGACACACAGTATCAATAATGCATTCTATACGTCATTTCTATACATGTGTATGTAATTACGGACCCATGTTCAACTATTCTACATTTTCATTTGAATCATCGATGGGTTTGTTGCTAATCCTTTCTTTAAATGATATATCTGTATATGTGGCAGTTGAGTTTAGAATCTAGTTGAAATTGGAATCAATGTTAAATATTAATTTGTATATCTAAAAGTTTTGTCAATAAATGAGTAAGAAAGTTTGTTTTGTGTTTTCGAACTTTAAGTCAATTTGTTGTTGTTTATAATTGTAACTTGTAAATATGTATGAAAGGTTGTTATGTTGATATGTACTTATGAAATAAGTCTATTTATTGGGTTGTATTATAATTAGGTTTTGCTGTAAATATTTTTGCGATTCTGTTGTTATTATTGATGAGTATGTGCTGATAAAATAGTTTGCTTTATTTTTATGTTTATCTTTATGGTAGTTTCATTTTTTTCAATAAATTGGATATTGCGATATCGAATGAATCATTAAATGTAAATTTTACATATGAGAGTTTGTATTATCTATAGATTTAAATTTTTATTTGAATGATGAGATGATGAGGACGTCGGGACATTGAATGGTTGGTTGAATCAAAATTTCAAATACGAGACTTTCTACTATGTATAGATTTGAATTTTTATTTCAATGACGGGATGATGGGGACGTCGGGACATTGAATAATTGGTTGAATCGAAATTTTGAATACGAGACTTTCTACTATCTATAGATTTAAATTTTTATTAGAATGATGAGATGATGGGGACATCGGGATATTGAATGATTGGTTGAATCGAAATATCTAATACGAGACTTTTTACTATCTATAGACTTAAATTTTTATTAGAATGACGGGATGATGGGGACATCGGGACATTGAATAATTGGTTGAATCGAAATTTCAAATACGAGAGTTTGTACTATGTATAGATTTAAATTTTTATTAGAACGAGGAGATGATAGGGACGTCGGGACATTGAATAATTGGTTGAATCGAAATTTCAAATACGAGACTTTCTACTATGTATAGATTTAAATTTTTATTAGAATGATGGGATAATGGGGACGTCGGGACATTGAATAATTGGTTGAAACGAAATTTCAAATACGAAATTTCGTGTTATGTATAGATGTGATATTTTATTTCAATGACGGGGACATGGGGATGTTGGGACATTGAATGATTGGTTGACTCGAAATTTCAAATACGAAATTTCGTGTTATGTATAGATGTGATATTTTATTTCAATGACGGGGACATGGGGACGTCGGGACATTGAATAATTGGTTGAACCGAAATTTCAAATACGAAATTTCGTGTTATGTATAGATGTGATATTTTATTTCAATGACGGGGACATGGGGACGTCGGGATATTGAATAATTGGTTGAACCGAAATTTCAAATACGAGACTTTCTACTATCTATAGATTTGCATTTTTATTTCAATGACGGGGACATGGGGATGTCTGGACATTGAATGATTGGTTGACTCGAAATTTCAAATACGAGTTTTGTATTATTTATAGATTTGATTTTTCATTTCAATGATGGCAACATGGGGACGTTGGGACCTGCAATGATTCGTTAAATTGAAGTTTCTAGTACGAGATAGTTTATGATATCATCTGCAGATTTGAATTTCTATTTCGATGATCGCAACATGGGGATATTAAGTGAATTATGAAATCTAAATTGTTGAAAGTATATATTTAAAGGTTTACGTCAATGATGGCGACGTTAAATGATTGGTTATATATCGAGAAATTGTTTTTATTACGAACATTCTTGGAATTGTTTCAGTTTGTAAAATTTGTGATCTTGAATCATTTAATAAATATAAGAAGGTGTTGATAAATTAGTTTGTTTAAATATTTCATATATGTTTTTTTTTGTTTTTTTAGATTTTGAATTGAGTCAAAAAATGATATTGGTTGGTTAATCTTTTTTTTGTTTCAGTTTATATTTGTTCGTATTTAATATTTGACAACTGATATGTCATAGATATGGTGTGATTTATTTTATTTGAATTAATGTGTATTTATATTTCAATTAATTCAATAATGAGTATGATACATATGAGGAGTGTGCTTAAAATTATCTAATTTTTCTCGTAAGTAATCCTCGATCATATTTTATAAAATAAATGTAATATTTATTTGTTATACAATATAACAAAAGTATTGTGACTAAAGGTATAAGTTATGTGAGTGAACTAGTGTCTTGCTCGTTTTAGAAAAATAGACTGTCATAAGTATAAAATCACAATTAATTTTAATAATGTTTTAGTAGTGCCAGCTGTGAAAACAGGTTTAGATATTGGTAAAAAACAAAATCTTTAATAATTATACAGAGCATTCCCATTTTTGATATCAATAAATATACAGTCGAGCATTTTATCATTTCAAAACAAATATCGTTGTTTTTTTTTTGTTTTAAACGTCAAACCCCGGACAGCCGTAGAAAACATATTAACTTAAATGAGCAGCATGGGTATGAAAAAAAATCCAAGAATAAGGTCATCCCACGGTTCCACGACATTTCCGCGCATGACATTTGCGCGCCGACACTACCGCGCCGACACTACCGCGCCGACACTACCGCGC